TCTTCAATAGTTCTATTGGTGCTGCATCACTTTTCCTGTCATTAGAGATTTTGCGAAGATGTAAATCAGTTAAAAAAAGCCACATCAGACCATAACTGGCCTGGAATGAAATGGATTCTCCCTGAACACAGACACCTCTAATAGTAGAATGACATTTGTCTCAGGTGATGATTGTTCAACAGAGGATAATAATTGATGGAGTTGATTCTTCTTATGAAATAAATGGAACATAACATTACAGCTTTAAAAATCAAGAACTGCTGTCTTCCTTTATGAATGTTTATCATTTCCTGATTTTGACATTGGATTTACTCGAATAATGAATTATGTAGTTTTTACATATACACAACTAAAGGCTGCTTTATTTCTCATCAGAAATTGCCAATTCTATATTACTGAATCTGGTTGCACTGATTTTATATGAAGATGATCTTCATAAATTAATTTTTTCTTTTGGAAACAGTGGAGCTTGGGAAGCGATTTTTCCCTCGTTGTTCAGCAGTACTGAACAAGATCATGGATGGTGATGACTATTCCGAGATCACTCAACTAGGGAATAATGCTCTCGAAGGGTGTCCATTAAAGAGGCGAAGGCGCATGGAACTCGAAGAAGTATTGTGCAAGGCATTTACTGAGGATAAAGAAGAATTTGACCGTACGATTAACATGTCGTCATCTTCATCATCATCTGTGGGAATGATGAAACCCAATGGTAAGTTAACACTGACAAAGTAAACATCTGGTGTGTGCGAGTGTTAGGGAGAGGGTTTCGGCTTTTTCTTTTTTGCTGCATATACTGTTTTCCACCTTTTTTATTTGCCCAGCAATGTTCCAGCTTTCTTTCATAATTTAGGACTTCTATTAATTTACAGGGAAATGAGGACTGGATTGTTTTAGTTATTTTGGATTCCACTGAATGTTCAGAAAGTATGAGCTATAAAAGATGTAAGTATGCATTTTTTTTTTCCCAATAATTTCCTGAAGCTGGAAGAACGTGTATTCTTCTGCATCGTTCCATTTCTAGCCTTTTTGATAATTAATAATTTAAATAGCAGATCGAATTGATTATAGAAACGTGAATTTGATCAGTTGATTTATTAGTGAAGTTAATTGATTATAGACGGTAAACAAGTCAATATTTTCATACTTGCATTTAGAAAATGAAACTTGATTTGTGCCATAGATAGACATAAAGCTTGTGGCTATATTTGCTTCTCTAGGTAACACATTTGATGAGCCTATCCCATTAATCAAATCTTACACCTACTGATATGGTCCCATTACCAAATTTGGATGGCTAATTGTGGCTAAATAGACAGGTGTCTGGATTGTAGCCATTTATGCTTGAACTTTCTAGTGCTTGTCTTAACTACTTTTGCACTAATTCCATTTAAGATAAAGGTCACGTGGTTTG